TTTTGATTGGCAAACATCGGAGAGAAGATGAAGATCGAGGAGAACCACCTTGTCGCATGTATCTGATAGAGTAGCCAACAAACGAGGAAAGATCCGATCCATATGAACAAAGAGCTTAAAGTGATTAGTTATATTACAAGTCATCGAGAAAAGATGGCCACCTGAACAGGCAAGTTCACATGCAAATGCCTAATCCAATTGAGAACCGCAATCCTGGTGTCGTCACGGTTGTGCTGAATATTGAGAAGAAGGACATCTGAATCTCAAGAAGATTAATGGGAAGAGATATGAACACATACCAATCACATTATCCATTCCTTCATGATCTATTTCAGATTTTTCGTTAACTAAATTGAGCAGGTACTCGTTAATACTCTTAGCTGGAAAGCACGCAGGTTTCTGTACTATTTATAAGGAACATGCCTTTCAATCCATCATTCTCCAGGGATGGAAGTATGGCTTTCAAGTAAGGAGCCAGGAACGGCAGCAGTTTCTCCTGATAAATTCTGAACACACTTCATTATTATAACTCGAAGTTAGAGATGTAAGACCTTATGAATTCATCCATCCAGCTCAAGGCTAAACGACGACACAGGGCGGTTTCATCTTCATGTGAGTGTACTATGAGCACATTAACAATCTGAGCTCGATCAGCCTGAATACAACTGTATAAAATCTGTTTAACGTCTTAGAACTAACATCGCTCAGGGCTAGTGGGTTATTCTTGATGCCTAACAGGAATTGGCCCAAAACGGTTTCGGTGACATCCCGAACGGCAGGTTGAGCATCACCTGTACTAGCTATTACAACAATGGAAAACAAAGGAATAAAAACCGAGCATTTTCAGGAGCCCATCCGAAACTTCTGACAAGTATGGAAGTAAGTTGAAACTAGGTGTAGTCAACAGCGTGTTTAACTGAAAATGCGAGATATGAGGAAGATGAAAAATCTTCATACCCATGAGACGATAAATCGACGATGTGAGCTTATTTGTCCATATATTCTTTCACGAAGTAGGACCATCAACTTGGCGATATCGAAGTTATCTTGTGCTACAACTATGTCCTAAACAGGGGCTATTGAGATTTTGATATGAACAAGGGAAAACCATCAATAATCTATCCAACAGTTCAGCTCCACTTCGTACGTTCTGATCAGAATCAGCAGAAAGCTGAAAAGCTGAGTAACATGAAAAGAATTTCAAAAGCTCTCACCTTCCACAAAACATCAAACAATTGCTCAAAGTGTTCCAACACTCCAGTTTTACATATTTTCACGATATTATATAAAGACTATAAGGAATCAGTAGTAATTACAAACACAGACTTACTTCACAGGCATAGTAGCGAACTCTCAGGTCTGGATCATTGAAACAAGCCAAAACGGGCTCTATCAGGTTAGTAGTGAAAGGACCAGCGTTCTTAACAAAACATTGGAGAGTTAATCAGATACGGAGAACGAACCTTTCCCAAAGCAATGGCAGCAGCAGCTAAGCCAATCAGCCCACCTTGTCTGGTGTGGCTGCTGGATCCCATAGCCAACTCACGGAGCACCGTGAGTAATTTGTCCAATTGAGAAAGCTGATTAGAGGCATAGAGATCTCGAACTTGTCTGAATCAACTGTTATAATGGGATAAAAATTCTCTTGAGACTTCTCAATGTCTAAAGCTGCTGATTTCCTCTTTTCATAAAGCTTATCTGTTAGAATACGAACAACTGCTGGAGTCAAGGGAGCATACTGGTTTTCTGACATCTATAAAGGGCACTATACTGATGTTCAGTTGAAGTATTTGAATATCAGGAATTATAACTGGAAAATTATAGTCTTGACCGTCGAGGCATGAACACGCATTTTTAATCAAACGGCAGGTAGTAGGACACCTCTTGTTGCATTGTGCTGGCCAACGAATAGTAATTCTCATAGTGTTTAAATACGACTCGGTTCTTTCCGAACAAATCAACAAGAAGAATTATTCAAAAAAACTATTTTACACTAACAATTACAAGTAATAAAAGAAATACAAGACATTTCTAAGGTACACTGCTTATCGTAGAGCAAAAGGAAGTTGCCGGATAAGCCAACAGAAACAAACGAAAAACAAGGAAAAAAACAAAAAAAAACAAAATAAACAATTGAAGGAGACAATTCCACTACTAGAGAAGGACGAAAACAAATGAAAATAAGGAACTATGTACAATAAGTGACCGCAACACGAAGTGATCAACCTCACTAAGCATTTAGCTCTTGCTCGGCACTTAGACAATCTGAACCAAAATCCATACAAGAAACTGCAAGGATCTGCATGCCAAGAGAAAATCTTCCCTATTCTGCTCTGTTTAATCTTGGTTTCAGCTGACGAGAAAAAGGGTGACGATGGTCATCGACTTGTTTAGGGGTTGGGTGATTCGAGGGAAGTTGTTAGT